CCCCGTCCCGGTTCGGGTCCCGGGTCTATAAATAGCCCCGGACTCGGCCCGGCCAAATATAGTCCGGGACGGCACCTGTCCCAGGCCACGCCCCCTTGGGGACAGGCCACGCCCTTATCAGAGGACACGCCCACTCGGGACACGCCCATAATGCTCCCTGCCCCCGCCCCGTGTGTCCCCCCTATCCCTGTGTCCTCTCTGTCCCGTCTGTGTCCCCTCCACCCCTGGCGCTTGTTCCCTGTGTCCCCTTTGTCCCCCTGCGTCCATGCCACATGCCCGGCCATGTCCCTGTCACCTGTCCCTGGCGGCTGTGCCACGCGGTGCCCCATGGCATGACAGGTGACGTGACCGGGCCTCACGCTTGTGCCACCACCGAGCTGTCCCGTGTCCCGTCCCGTGCCGCCCCGCCTGCCCTGCTGTGTCCCGTCTCCCATGGCACGTCCCATTCCCGGTGCCATTCCCGTTGTCGACGGCCACGCGGCCGGTGGTGACCCGGGGCCGGTGCCACGCAGGCCCGCCGCCACCATGCCCTTCAGCAACACCCACAACAAGTACAAGCTGAAGTTCTCGGCCGAGGAGGAGTTCCCCGACCTCTCCAAGCACAACAACCACATGGCCAAGGTGCTGACGCCCGCCCTCTACCAGCGCCTGCGCGACAAGGAGACCCCCAGCGGCTTCACCCTCGACGACGTCATCCAGACCGGCGTGGACAACCCTGGTGGGCACCCTGGGTCCCCTCTGCCAGCCCTGGGGTCCCCTAAGCCCCCCATGGGGTCTTCTTGGCCACCCATGGGGTCTCCAATGGCACCTCAACCAGCTCTGAAGTTCCTTTGACCACCCATGGGGTCTCCAATGGCCCCTCCAGAAGCCCTGGAGTCCCATTGCTCACCCATGAGGTCTCCAATGGTCCCCACACCAGCCCTGGGGTCCCCTTGGCCACCCATGGGGTCTCCAATGGCTTCTCAACTAGCTCTGGGGTCTCCTTGGCCACTCATGGGATCTACAACAGCGCCTCCACCAACCTTGGGGTCCTCTTGGCCATCAATGGGGTCACCAGAGGACACTCAGCCAGCCTTGGTGTCCCCATTGGCCTTGCCCAAGGGGCTCTCAATCATCCTGGGTGTCTCCTTGGCCACCTCTGGTGTCCCCAGCACCCACTGACGCTCTCTCTGTCTGCAGGGCACCCGTTCATCATGACGGTGGGCTGTGTGGCTGGTGATGAGGAGTCCTATGAGGTCTTCAAGGATCTCTTTGATCCCGTCATCCAGGACCGCCACGGCGGCTACAAGCCCACCGACAAGCACCGCACCGACCTCAACCACGAGAACCTCAAGGTGACCTGCACACCGGGAGCCCTCATGGGTGCTGGGCTTGGGGATCAGAGAGGCTGGGTGCCCAGATGCCTGGGATCCTCACGGATGGTTGGACTGGGGAGCAGATGTTGGGTGGAAATCAAGGAGACTTGGCCATCTGGGTCCCTCATGGGTGATGAGTGGGAGGACCAGGAGATGTTGGGTAGGGACCAAGGTGCCCCGGATGCCCGGGTCCCTCATGGGCGGTTGGAAGTGGGGACAGATGTTGGGTAGGGATGAAGGTGGTGGGAATGGGGACCAAGGTGACTGTAATGCCTGGGTCCCTCATTGACAGTTGGAATGGGGAGCAGATATTGGTTAGGGATGAAGGTGGTGGGAATGGGGCCCAAGGTGCCCGCGTCCCTCATGGATGGTTGGAAGCGGGGGCAGATGTTGGGTAGGGATGAAGGCGGTGGGAATGGGGCCCAAGGTGCCCGCGTCCCTCATGGATGGTTGGAAGCGGGGGCAGATGTTGGGTAGGGATGAAGGTGGTGGGAATGGGGCCCAAGGTGCCCGCGTCCCTCATGGATGGTTGGAAGCGGGAGCAGATGTTGGGTAGGGATGAAGGCGACGGGAATGGGGCCCAAGGTGCCCGCGTCCCTCATGGATGGTTGGAAGCGGGGGCAGATGTTGGTTAGGGATGAAGGTGGTGGGAATGGGGCCCAAGGTGCCCGTGTCCCTCATGGATGGTTGGAAGTGGGGGCAGATGTTGGGTAGGGATGAAGGTGGTGGGAATGGGGCCCAAGGTGCCCCGGATGCCCGGGTCCCTGCTGGATGGAGGGGGCGGGGAGCAGCCCGGACGCCTGGGCCCCCGCTGACGGCTGCCGGCAGGGGGGTGACGACCTGGACCCCAAGTACGTGCTGAGCAGCCGCGTGCGCACGGGCCGCAGCATCAAGGGCTACTCGCTGCCGCCGCACTGCAGCCGCGGCGAGCGCCGCGCCATCGAGAAGCTGTCCGTCACCGGTGAGGGGCGGGGCCTGTCGCCGACAGGGGCGGGGCCTGCCGCCGCGGGGCGGGCCCGACGCCGCCAGGGGGCGGGGCTTGC